GCCTGTGTTGGTGTGGGAGAGGCTGTGCTAGTTTAATTAGAAAGGGGACAAAGAAGCTGAAGGAGAGGATTGGAGCAACACAATAAGCAGTTAGTAAAATACCAAATAACCTGTGAAGCCATTCGAAGGTCTAGGAAGAATATTAAATTGACGCATAAATGGTGTCAAGGATATTTAACCCTTCTTTGCATTTCCCTTGTTGCTTCTGTTGCACACTCTGACACCGCTTTCACTAATTTAATACACCAGGTAATTTTGTTGGCATTGTTATTAGTAAAACATGTAGCTAACCTCAGCTAATGGGTGTGAGCTGTGAGTGTGTGTGACCTTGTTAGCCAGATCTCCTGCAGCAGTCTGTTGAATTAAGCTGATAAGGACCTGCAATAAGTGCTCTTGCTTTGGGGCATTATGTCCAGTGAGAAGCAGCTCAGGTGTAGCGTTGATGCTTTGACTCCATTCATTTCACACACTGTGCCACACCAGGATGTCCAAGCACATGGACACGCTGCTGAAAAGCAAAGATGACAAGGTAAGCAGTTTTAAGGTTGGCTGTATTAATGCAGCATGGAGCGAGCATGTGGCTACAGTAAAGCTAGCTGGCAGTAGACCTTATGGCAGGCCTGAGGGATTAGTCCAGGCTTTCCCTCCCTCTCACTTCTCCTCTCTGCTGGTCAGGGGATTTACTGACGCTTGAACCAGATGCAGCACTAACTTATCGGGCAGCCACACAGGCGACAGTGTCAGCATGTCTGGAGCGCTTGGACCACGTTGCTCTGTTAGTAAAAAAAGTTTGGATTTGGATCTGACTTACCTTTGACCGTGGCATTAAGGAAAATGGTATCTGTAGTGTTAGTGTGTGACCTGTGGTGGAGGTTGACGTTAAAAGGATTGTTAGTTGCAGCCTTACTACTAATTGAAGGGTTGCTACTGTAGTTTGATCCCCGTGTAGCCAGTTCCCATTACTTCCGTAGTAGCCTTGAGCAAGGGCATGTAAGGGTATGTACACTGGAGCCCACCAATGAGTTTGTTTTCTAAAAAGCAGCAATACAGCACACTAGCTGGTGATCATGTGCTCATTGTGACAGTAAACTGTAGGTAGTATTTGGTCGCCCTCCACCTCTTGTCGTGCATTCGATGTCCTTCTCCCGTCTGTCCCTTTCCTCGCTCTCTCGCTGCTCTCTGACTGACAGCCATTCTGAATGTACTATGAGAGTCTCCCTGCAGCCTCGCTGCTCAGCGGCCATCTGTTGAGGCCTCTGTGCCAGGCTCTGTGTGCCAGAGCGCGGCCCCCATCCAACCCAATCTTCTGCCCCAGCTGTCGGCCTTCCTCCCCAAACAAACCCCTCATTGTCACACAGGCCTTCATGCTAGCCCAGTGCACTTGCCCTGTGTAAACGAGAGACTAGCAGTTCATTTGCGTCAGAAGCAGGCGAGGGGAGTCTCCCATTAACCAGTGCACCCCTCTCTCACTCTGAATGCCACAGTAGCCCCTCTGTGCTTTGTTGTGTGGCCATGTATGTTTTGGTGGTTGTGTGTGTTTGTGTGTGTGTGTGTGTGTGTGGGGTGGTGACTCCCAGGTTTTGTAATGTATTAAAGAGGCTTTTATAGGGTTCTGTGGGATTAGGGACCTCTTCTACTGATATATGTGATTGTTTCAAACAAAGCTGTGACATGAATGTCTAAGCATGTGTTTAAGGGCCACCCCAAAGAACCGGGGTCTTGTGCTGTCATTTACTGTTATTTCTACTATATTATGGGTACACGCTCATTTATAAGGAGCCTTTTTTTATCCAGGAAGATGCTTTGGGAAAGGCTGTTATAAAAGAGATTGAAAATGCTTCTGCTTTAATGCTTGAACTGTATGCTGGATTAGTCTCTTATGTAATACTGTGATGGTGACGCTGGCTTGCTAGCATCATACAATAATACTACGGGCCTCAACAGATGTGCTAAAAGGACACAGTACATATAAAACACAACTAGAAGCATTTATATTACATTTCTGTCTTTTTAGTTTTTCCAAAACATTAAAATAATCCCCACTAAGAATTTTGGGTATCATTATAAAAGAAGAATGTGTATAAATAATATGCACCCAGCTGTTGTTTCCCTGCTGGTTTTAACAAAGACTAATAGGCCTGGTTGATTGTGACCTCAGTGGGAAGCGGTGCTGTAGAATGAGATATTCTCTGGCCAAATGTTGATTACATTTTTATCACACTGCCTTTCATACAAAACAGCCCTGAGATTCAACCACAGTTTTTAAGACTAATTTAGCAATGGGTGGCGTCGCTGTAGTCTAGGGGTAACAGTGCTGTCTAGCTGTAGCTTTGATCATCATGTAATTGCTAAGTGTTAATGAGTCCCACATTCTGAAATTGTATTAAATTAATTAAATTCGACTTTGAATGAAAGGGAGGAGGAGAAAACAAAATGTTAACAGGTCCAATTGTTTCCATGTACTTTTCGACTTTTCCAAAGGTCTTCATGGAAACATCGTTCAGACTGTGGCTTTGCAAATTCCCTGCACATCATACAGCCGACTGTACAGAATATTCTCCATTTTTGGCTTGCATCAAATTTCTCTCTGCAAATCGCAGCCCTTACCACAGCTGGTGTGAGCCATCATTAGTGTTTCAGTGTCAAGATACTGTGAAAAATGCAATCTTGTCAGTGAAGGTGCACCATGAAACAGTGGCCGGGCAGTCTTTGTTTCCAGGCTTGGGCTCCAAAGCAAGAAATTATGTTTGTGCATCAAGGATAACAGAAATTCACAAAAGTAATTTAAAAAAAAAAAAAAAAACTTCTTAATCTTGCCTTATAACTGAAAAATATTTTGACAGTAAAATCATTTGGCCTTGAAAATAATTAATGAATGAATAATACAAACTTTGTAGTGCACGGTCAGTAACAAGACTGCAACCCTGGAGCTGAAATTATTGTTTTGCTTAAAAGCACTTCAGCAGAATGGCAGAAGGAGTAGAACCCTCCCAATCGAAGGATAGCTGGGTCTCTAAGCTATAATTGTATTGGCACAGGAGAGGGATAACCGTGACAGGAGCACACCAGTGTAACATGACCATACCAGGCAGTTATCATATTGCTTTGTGGCTGTGGTGTACTGTACCTGAGGTTCATTGAAATAGGTGAATCTCCATGGGGACACTCATTCAACCGTGTGGAGATCCAGACTGTGTGTGTTTCCCTGTCTCACTTCCTGTGACACTTGTTCTGCCTGCTGGGCAGGTTGCAGAGCAGCTTGCTGTGTGTCCTGTGGTTATGATTACACATTCATTATCAGTGGGATCGTTAAGGATAGACGTTATCTGTCGATGCAGAATTTGCCTTTTTTGACCTGAGCTCGCATAGGTGACAAAACATAAAGCTAAATACCATACAAAAGGTCTAGCTGCCAGTATATCCTGAACTACTGACTGGTTTTGGTCAGTTAAAATTATGCTAACCATAACAAGAGAGCCGAACGTCTGTCTATACAGCAGTCTGTGTACACAGTGCAGAGTCATTGTTACTCTGATTCATTCCTGTCATTCCAGGGCAGCCTGTTATCATTTCTTTGACTCCTGGTCTATATTTACTTCTCGTGACTTATGTATTTGCTGTCATGGCTATTGTAAGCCCTGCAAGTGATGGTTGTGTGGGTGGAGAAACAAGCTGTACAAGATCTAAGATTAACTCCTCTCCTTTCCTTTCCACCCAGCTGAGCAGCATCAGCAAAGCCATCAACTCCACCGAGACGCCTGTGAAGGAGAAACATGCACGACGTATCCTTTTCTGTTCTGTTTAGATCAGTAGTGTGCGGTACTGCCTTTGCTTCACGGCGTTTAAGGTCATTTATATGTAAGGCATTCGTAAGCTATTAGAATCTTCTATTTTCAGACGGACTTCATATTTTGCCATTGTTTACATTCACTGTGTGTCAGCATTTAAGTCATCATGAAACAGCATTTTGGGAAAATGTTTATTCTGTAATTGGATCTTTTTCCTGTTTGACCGGAATAGGGCGGGATCTAACAACAGCAGTCATAATTCAAAAGTGTAAAGGAATGGGATACTACAGGAAGAAAAATTAATTAAAACTAATGGAATATAGATAGAAAAAATATAAAAGAAGGCGTACATAACTTTTGCCTGTCATGACATGGAAATCTAGCTACCATTTCATTGTGTGGGAAATGGCACATGCTGTATGTGGAACAGCCAGGAGTCCTGTGATACTTTGTGCTTCCTTAACAACACAACAACAGGAATCATCCTGGGGACTCACCGGGAGAAGGGAGCCTACACCTTCTGGTCCTACGCTCTGGGCTTCCCTCTGGCCAGCAGCTCCATCCTCAGCTGGAAGTTCTGCCACGTACTGCACAAAGTCCTGCGTGACGGACACCGCAATGTAAGGCACCGAGTACTCGTCTCTTACCGGCTTTTACTCTCTGTGACACTAAGGAGATGATTTGTGTGATTAAATTTAGAGAAACTGGATTATTGACTTCATCATTGTTCACTTGTATATTTATATGAATATTGGCTTTCTACATCAATGGTAGGCAAAAAGCTCACATTTATTTAGATAGAAACAGTCTACCTACTTTAGTGAGTTGCTTTTTATTTTTTTTCAAATACTGTAGAAAATAAAATGACAGAACTTTCTCAGAAAAGACTGACACATGTTCAAAACACATTGAATGTGAGTTTAATAGGTTTTGATTGAGGTCAAGTGTTACTTGAGATGTTCATTCAAGCTTTCAACCTTTACAGGTTCTCCAAGACTGCATGAGACATCACAGTTCTCTAGTTGAAATTGGTAAACTGTGGGTGAGTCTTCCATCTTTTTTATTACATCTTATGAAAATGATTTCAATAATTTCAAAAGAATGCTGTAAAAATATACATCTGTGGATAATTGGATTTCTGTAAAGCCTTTAAATAATATAGTTCAGTAAGAGACAAGAAAGCTTTAACTTATTATTAT